GTAAAATATGTGTTTAGCACAGCATCATTAAATAAATAGCGCAGTGTAGCTCTCCGGTACACTTTCAGGTTTAAATGCCACGTGTTGTTTGGCATGATGTCCAACGTTTCACTCCACATTCTTTGGGAGCTTCTTCAGAAACTGAATATAGGTCTTTCTTCTTCGTCAGACGTCGTGCTGAGCAACTCGGGGTGCGACCCAAAAACGCCGTACAGCAGGAAAGCCCCGACAACCTTCACAGTGGTAAATTAATGCCGTGGTTACAATCGACCACACGCAGTCCCTGCAGACTGCTGCCGGCAAACTCAGCTGTTTAGAATGGGAATCTTTGTTTATCCTGGAGAAATCCGATGAGCTATGAAGCCCCTTTTCTTTTCAGAGACATCCAGCAGGGGCGGGTCAGAAGGTTGCAAGGATAAACAAATACAAAAACACGATAGGAGTGCAAACGATGGGAAAAGTAAACAAATCACTAAAAAACATCAGTGTTGTACAAGAAGCGTGAAAGCCATTTGCCGTAACTACTTCAACGATGGGCTGTTGCATCCAGATAATAATATCGAATCAACTTTTAATGGTTTTAAGCAAATCATTGCTTGTGACGATGTGTGACGAGGGGGGGGGGGTTGAGAAATGTGACGTCACCATCAAAATGCGCAACTTTAAATAAATATATAATTGTTATAACAACACTAATTGTTATAACAACACTCCTACAACATCAGAGTGTAGCGCCACATTAAATACGCACTACAATGACAATGGTTTAAAGCGATTTGATGCATGTTTTATTTTCAAAATGGAAATATGTTTTTTTTTGGGGGGGGGGGGCAGAGTTTTGTGACGTCATATTTGAGGGGGTGTGACTTTTTGTGACGCTGTGTGACGAGGGGGGGGGTCAAAAATCGCGTGACGTCATTTATGGACGGCCCCTAAGTAGTGTAGCGAACCCGGCGACCCGAGTTCGATTCCCACTCACGGCCACCACCAGTGACGATTATCTGTACCGGTTCCGGGCCTCCCCTAGGTTGACTGAGCCTCAAATGAATACCTGGTGCAGTGTGTAACGTCGCCACTTGGGAGACAAAGGCGGTCGGGCGTGGTGCTGGCTATCCACCCGCTCGTGTGCCGTGCCAGCCTTCACAGGTGCTATATGCAAACAGCACTTGCCCCAACAGTCTGTTATAGGCTGTACGGAGGATCTTTGTCTTTGATGTAAGTGTTAAAGGTGCAGCCCTGCAATGTGTTGATCTACACGACTCGCCGGTGGCAAGGCCTCCTCGAGTGGGGGCTATTGAATTGAACCGCCGACCTCTGGATCACAAGTCCAGGGTACCATTACAACATTGTGGCGTCGGCATGCTGTGTGTGTTAAGGCGAGAATGCTGCGGTAAAATATAGAAATTACTCCGTAAATGCTGGAGTTGTGTGATCTCGCGAGCTGTTTGTGAAATGAGACGCTCTTCTGGCTGTGAAAGTGTGGAAATTAAATATATTCGACTCATGGCACGTTACCGGTAGCACCGATTGGGATGTAATTGATTAAAAAAATACCAGGAGGTTGGAGTCACTACGTTCTGTAGCCAAAAACAGCCACGGCAGAGGAACGCCTCATGGGTCAAAAATGGTTTGCGAGTGAATGTATCCAAACAAGGCAGTTAAAACATACGGCAAGAGTTTGGAACGAAAAACAAAACAAAACATCGATCCATTAAGTTATTTTTTTGTCTGTGGTGAAAGGAATATTCACGCTGCGATTTTAAAATAAGCATTCGAGCGCAAATCTGACTGCTGCCCTGTAGACTGCTTAATCATGTGCAAGTATATCTGTAGTGTCATAGGCACTCACAGCGGAGTGGCATAAATAATTGAGCTTTTAAAGTCACCTCATGTCATCTCCATCGGAATCCCATCATAATTCTCAACCATGCACAATCCATGGTTATTATTCTTCTTATTAAATTGCACTTCATCGCAAATGGCAATCGCTGTAAATTGGAGGCTCAACGTTTATGAAGGTCGCTTATACCCCCACCCCCTGCTCTGCTCTGCCCGAGAGTCCAGAACTCCATTCCCACAGTCATCCGTGCTGTCGACTCCCTTGCCCCCTGTTCAGGTCCACGCAGTGCCGGATGAAGCTCGTGCGGGGCCTGTAGCAGGATGTTATAAAGGGGCCCTAAATGAAAAAAAGAAACACAGAAATATTAAAACACACGAATTGTTTAACTTGCACAGTAAAGTAATTGTATTTTTTCATTTTCTATACAGCCAGATAATACGACAAATCGCTACCCTTAAACACCCAGTCGTTCATAAAAGTTGAAGGCAGTATAGTACTGTAGTAATAGAGCAAGTGCAGAATCACTGAACCGGAATTGATAGCTTAAAAGCATTTAGAGCGGGGCCCCTGAAAGTGCGGGGCCCGTAGCTACTACTACACATGTAGCTACTACATATGTAGTAATAGCTACTACACATGTAGCTACTACACATGTAGCTACTACATATGTAGCTACTACACATGTGGCTACTACACTTGTAGCTCCTACACATGCAGCTACTACACATGTAGCTACTACATATGTAGCTACGACACATGTAGCTACTACACATGTAGCTACTACACATGTAGCTACTACACATGTAGCTACGACACATGCAGCTACTACATATGTAGCTAGGATAATCCTGCACTGGGTCCACGCTCTAGACCTCGCCCTCTGGTAACGATGGACTTCTTCTTTGAACACGCAAGCAGGCGTTGCGCGATCAATATCGCGATTCACGGTTTATTTTTTTTGGTCAGATCGTAGAAGTAACAACGTGTGTCGTACACCCTCCTCCACCTGACACAGAATCAACTGATAAGAAAATGCTCACGTGACGAACAAAAACTACCAATGTTTGTAGTGCTTCGGCACGTGGCCGGTGTGCCGGATAGCGATCGACAACACCTTTAACGATTGGGACGCGGTCGCATTTAAACAACAACCCAAGTTAGTGCTGCTTGGGAGCGAATCATTAAGTAACACGTCGCTTAAATGCATGCCTATGCAGGTCACCATACTTCAACAGGGATTACCGTTGGTACGGCTATTTTAGTGCACACAATCGACAGGAGCTGCAAGAACAATGGGCGTGGATAATGCGCGTGCATAATGTACGTTGATTACCCAAATGGCAATGGATACCCAGTCATTGATATGCATTCATGAATCCCTCCCCCCTCCACTTCTCGCATGAAGAGCACACAAGTGATGTCATCACATCTACGCCTCTATTTAAAGAACGAGACAGGAGGACTTCTCCACAAATCTGGCTGTCGCCTGACGAAGCTAGCTATCATTACTGGCGAAACGTCGTACTCAGATTGTAAATGTTGTGGCTTGGCTCTCCAACACACCGGTGTGCTGCACCAATAACGAAATGGCACGTTCTGTTTACGTGACAAACCTTAGTAATTGGCTGTGTCGGGTGGCGGCGGGTTTAACGACACATTTATATATTTTTATGCGATCTAACCCACGAAACCTGTCTTACGGTGCCCAAGTTACGTTGCGTTGCATAAAAGTAGAACGAGGAATGTAGACATCTATTTGCCATTGCATCTGGTGACGTATTATTTACATTTAGATGTGTGCCCAGCAACTGAGCATTAGATGTGTAAGTTTGTAATACAATGGGAAGTGGATGTTATATAATATAAATACTATGGGGGGTGGGAGGGGGGGGTGTTGGGGAGTAATGTGGAATTTTAACTGCTGGCCAAGTGTCGCTTACTGAGATTGGCACCACCTTAAGGAGACACCCCAAGTCTTTTCTTTTAAGTTTGAATAATCTGTTACACGTTGTATGATTTTTGATTTAAAGCTTTCGTGACTGCAGTAATTCATATTCTTAGCTCTTTCGGTAAAGTCACGTTGAAGGGAAACAATAAAATAATAATACATATTTTCTTAAGTGAAGAGATGGAATAATAATACATATTTTATTATTTTATTGTTTCCCTTCAACGTGACTTTACCGAAAGAGCTATGAATACGTTGTATGATGTCCGCACACGTTAGTGTACACTTTACAAATTCAGGAACGGATGCAACAACGATGTTACAACGCTATGTCATTGCCATAGCAGTGATGGCGTGGGAACTCAAATATAATCACAAAGACCAATGATATACGAGTCGAGAGACATGTTCCTTAAATGCGTGTTTTCATCTCCATTGTTTTCATTGTTTTGCAATCAGCAAGATTTTGTTATTTTTCCTTCTTCAGCGCTTTTTCGAGGTCGCTGAACTTTTCCACGGTTTCTTAGTCGGTAACTCCTACATATGCAACTCCTCCTCATCCTTCTCACCCTCCTCCAGTTTACGCTCTCCCTCCCCTCAATCCGGAATAACATTCTGACAGCTCACATAGACCTCCGATTAGGTCTATGTGAGCGATTAGCACGGTTGGCTACGTACGGTCCGAAAGAAGTTCAACAGACACACATACATACATAGCCGGGACTGATTCCACCCATCAGCCTCATCGTTATCGGGGAGCTCTGGAAACTGCTTGCGGCCAATCAAAAAAACAACTGATGGATTGCAAGTCCAGTGGAGAGGCGTTATCTCCCTCCCCACCCCGACGATGCCTGTTGTATATTTGGAGTCCGTTTATGTTTTCAGCCCATGCTTGCGTAGGTTTTTTCTCCGGGTCCTCCGGAGTTGCTCTCAACATTTAGAAACATGTGTTTAGAGTATTTGGCTGCGACTATAAATTCCCACATATGAAGATGGTATGTATCTACGCTGAACTTCTTTTGCACCGTACATAGCCAACCGCGCTAATCGGAGGCGCGAATATAAGCCGCTGTAAATGTGGCCAGGTCGCCTCTGACAAAGAGCTCACAGCTCAGTGGGCTTCACCTGTCAAACAAAAACAGTTTCCTTTTTATCTTGAGCTTATTACGACGTGCGTGTAACTGTCGTCATTGTCGCTGCACGCGTCGGCAGATTCCCCGGCGAGAACGATGCGGGTCGTGCCACGCGCGCTGCGCGCCGCCCTGCTGCTGCCGTTGGTGGCGCTCCTCGCGCTGTCGCCGGCGCAGGAGCTGCCGTCTCGGCCCGAGCCCCGGCCCGGCTCGGCGCCGCCCGTGGGCCACCCCGCCCTGGATGAGCAGGAGGAGCACGCGACGGCGCTGCCGGACGGCGCGGAGCTCACGGACTACCTGCTGAGAGACACGTCCAAGCGGTGAGAGTCGCGCCGCGCCGCGCCGGTCCGCCTCCTGTCCGCGGTGACCCGCGAGCGAACCGTCGGTCACGCGTGCCAGTGTGTACGGAGGGGGTTTGGGAACAGCCGTAAGTCACGAACGCAAATTGGCGGACGATACGTCTCCTCCGCGTATAATCCGTCTGTCCATGCAAAAAAGTAAAAACAAAAGTACAATTATTTCTCAAGCAAGCCATCGGCCGCACGACCATCTGGGAGCGAGTGATTTCAGTAGCATTGATTCAAGACAAGCAGAACTCTGGACCGGTTTCAACATATTGTGTAAGAAAAACTTTAATTTTTCTTAAGTGAAGAGATGGGATATATGAAGGAGACACATGGTATGCTTATTTATTTTTGTTATTTATATTCTCAACAATGGCGTTGATAATTATTTACAGTCTCAAGAAGGGCTGCTTTCATCACGTGTTTTTATAACTGATAACCGCATTGAAAAAGAACTCTAACTGGTTTGTCACACACATACACATATCCAGGGATATAACTCTAACACTTTTACCTTTACAACTGAGAAACGAATGGCGCTATTTCCGTTCTTCTGCGAACAGGTCTATACAAATCACATGCATGGATGTGGCGTGCCAAATTAGCTCACAGGACAGCGTTTTGGACTGCACTGCCTAAAATGAAGCAGTGGCCCTGAGTAAGAATGCAAGGGGTCACTGAGCACTGTGAGAAAGCCTCAAATCAGCGGCGGTGACGTTAAGTGTGCAGGCGATGCAATTGCACCAGGGCCAAGGAGCATAGCGCATCACGCGAGCTTCGGTCATCCTCGCAGTGGCTTTTGGCTGGCCATTGAACATAGACGGTCACCTCATCGTGCACTCTGAGACGTGCTCCTGTGGCCGTCTGGAACGCTGGTCCTTCCGATATTAGGAAGCCACTGGAACTATGCACTTCTAAATCTAGATTTAAAACTAATGTGTTTAGAATTGCTTTTTGTTGTTTAGTTTGCTGTCTTTCCCCGCACCTACGATTAGCACGGTTGGCTACGTACGGTGCGAAATAAGTTGAACATTTGTACATCCGGGGTCCAGGTATCAGATGGGCACAGGCGCTGCACTAGGAAGAGGGTGGAAATTGTGTAGGTGCCCTTTGCATTATCTTGCACCAGGGCCCATTGGGTCCAGATTATTACGTCGCAGGATCATGAGAGTTGGCGGCGACTTGGGGAGGCATTCATCCAGCAGTGGAGTGATCATGGCTGATGATGATCGGTGAGCTCGTTGGCATGCCCTCTCCGATCCTGGGTTCCAGTTATTCTCTTACTGTGAAGCCACTGTAGCTATGCACTTGTAGAGCTAGATTGAAAACTAATGTCTTAAGAACTGCTTTTAGTGTTTAGTTCGTTGACCTTCCCCCGCAACTCCGATTAGCACGGTCGACTATGCACGGTGCGAAAGAAGTTCAACATACGTACATGATGACCAAGAGGGAGCGACGTCAAGAAAAATAATCAAACACCTCTGGAGCTGACACCGCATTCACTTGCAATTGCTGTGGCAAGGATTGCCACTCGAGGATTGGCCTACTAAGTCATTCTAGGCGCTGCGAAACCTACAGCTGACCTCGTAAGGCGCAAAAAGAATTGTCTCTCGAGACACACATGCCTATGATGATACACGATGACCAGCGAGCAGCCTGACCAAGCTACGCGACTTGTGCCAGGGGTTCTCAGAGCACCACAGCAAGCCATCGCGGCATAAATGGGTTTGCCTTAGCGAATAAACGGGCACACGTTTCTCGAGCGAGGAAGGGCTTGACGCGGCCCATCGGTGGCGCGACCTTGCCGCTTGTTGCAGATGTCCACGGTTCAAATGCAGCGGCCGACCCTGGTTAATACTGCGGGGTGTAATAACCACGACAATACAACCTGGCGCTTTTTACTTCACAGTAGACCTAAGTGATCCCGTGACGCCGTTCGCAAGTGCAGGCCGTTGTGCACCAGCATCACGGTCCAAATTTTCCGAATTTTGTAAAATTGCACCACAGAAGTTACTCAATAGGAACATACAGAGCCATCGTTACCCCCCCCCCCTTCCCCCCGCCACCATACTGCGAACAGTTTGCAGGACCTTCCTGAAAAACAGTCATGAAATTCAGCGAGGCTTTACTGGGTAACCAATCATAATAACAATAATAATAAAAGTAGGCAACATCAATACGTGCTAGAATGGATATAAGATTTGGAAGCGGAATTGCAATTGATCGGCACACGCTGTGTGGCGTTGGCTTGCGTGTTTTGACTGCGCAGCATCTCCGTAAATCACGATATATGCAGTGCGGTTGCTCATGTGGGAGGTAAACTTGTGAAAATGTTTTATGTAACGCGCCAGCTCCCTCACCTCCTCGTGCCATAATTCCCCACGAAGTGACCCCGGCTCCTCCTCCCACAGGCAAGTATGCTTCCCCCTCTCCGTGTGACCCGTTCCTCCCCCCCTCTCTCCACGTTCCATTCCGCCGGCTCTCACTGACCCCTGCCCACCCTCCTCCTACCCTCGCGCGCTCACGTCACCTCGCAGACTTTATCGTCAACCACCCGAATACCACATTGTCACTCTCTCACTCCCACCGTAGCCTCGCCCCGTGTGTGACAACGTGTGGCAATGTGTGACAGTGTGCGACTCGTGGTTATTGATGATGTAGCCGCGTAAGGGTGCTTGCGACGTGACCTGCCCATCGAAGATGAACCGTGGCGAACCCGTTCATGCCCCTGGGTGGACAGAGGCGGCTGGGGAGGGATTTAAGAATCTTGCATCGTTGTTTCAACTGCCGCGCTTGGAGTTTGCTCAAATTGAACCGCTGACCTCTGCACCGCAAGCGTCCGTTATGTGCGTGGCGCGTTTTTCCCGCAAACGTTATTACGAGGACACATTTGTCTTTTATATTCTACTTGCATCCTATCCCCCCCCCGACCTCCCCCCACTTCATGCACGCAGTGTACGCCTGTCGCCAAGGGAGACTCAGAGAATTTAGGTGGAAGCCCCCGCAGCCTTCTTCTGTCCCTGCGCATGGATCTTTGGCCTCCCAACCTCTGGCCTCTCCCCTTCTGCTGGTGGTGGCTGGTGGGGCCCAGTGGCCATTTGTGTGCGAGCCGTGAATACGAGCCACAAACGGTGACCGGGATTGATGCCTTTTCTCTGGCATTGACATTGATTTATGACGAGGATTGCCACTGCCCACTGACCAGATCAATATCTGGTTGGGCATTGCATTCATGTTTTGAACACTGCCCCAATGGCATTGTCACGCATTGGGCTCAAAGGATAGAATATCAAAGGACACGTACATATGATGGACGTTTAAAGAAAAAAAATCGACGTGAGCATTAAAATTTAATATAAATGACTGACGTTATAGAATAGTTTTGTCAATGTCGATATTACATTTTATATGATATAAGTCATTGCCAAGCGCACAGAGGGTGTTCGTTACACTTCTATACAATACAAAACAATTGGCTGCAGAATCGGGTGCTACTCAATATGGAAACGGCGAAAGTGAAGTCTCAGTTTTCATGGATCACTCCCTCCTCTCAATTTGTTACTTTTTGGCGCTAACGTCAACAGCTGAGAATCTCATTCTCCTCTGTTCGCAGTCACAGGTTGCTCAGGTTCCATTTCTTCTCCTTCTCTGTCCCTCCTGCACCTCCCATTGCTGCCCCCGCACCTCCGATTAGCACGGGTGGTTACAGTGTGAAAGAAATTCAACAAACATACATACGTACATACCTCTGCTCTGCGACTCTGTGCGCGTTGACCGTGATTCGTGTCTCAACTCCGTCGAGCAACCGAGCGATTGTGCTCAGTAAACTCGCAGTGGCTTCGTTTTAACGGGCGATTGAATCAAATCAGCAAACGTGACCTTGCAAATAAAAAAAAACTTGAATTTTGACTGGATACCTGGCTTTGTTGAATCACAAGGCAGACATTGTTACGACATAAATTATTACGGCAAGGTAAAACAAATAAGCAGAAGTCCATCGGTGGATTGAGAATGGCCGGTGAATTATTCTTATTTCCATTCTAGAAGTGACACGGTATGCCGTAGAAATGTGCCCATACAGGAACACAACAGGCGCCTTCCTCTGTGAGAGATGTGACAGATAAGTGGATGTCTGTGGCCACTCGGGCATGTGGCTGATGAGGCCTTGTTTGATGGAGCAAACATAATTGGATGGAAAGTGGAATTAATTAGCCCATTGTAGGGTTGTCTTAGGTAATGATTCACTATCCCCCCCCCCCCCCACGAATCGATTGTCATGATTCGCCGTCACGATTGGATTAAAGAATCGGTAATTTTGTATTGTTGTTGTTGTCTGATTGCATTGTTTTGTCAGCACTGCCCATCTCTTTTGTTCTGTATTTCTCATTCTCATTTCGTTAGTTCCATGAGACGAGACGTAACGTTCGCGACTAATTTGTATAATTATAAAATCCTCAATTCTCGCCGCTCACAATTCAATGCATGCATCGCTCGCTTAAACATCCGTTTTACTTCACGAATATATAGATGCATCACTATAGTGCATTAATTTGCTGAGAGCTACAATGACCATGCTACGTAGAGTTTGCCGTAGTGCGTAAACACATTTGTATGATTCTAGGATTGGACTCCTCTCCTTTGTGAAAAGCCATAAAAAAATAAAACTTATAATTCAAGCCAACAATAGCTGAACAGTCATCAGTGGCAGCGAAAATTCGAGAATCTGGACGTGCAAATTAGTGTTCGGGCCTTAGTGGCGCCGCATACGATGAACTCGACCACCTGAATTAGAGTCTCGGTCGTGACTAACATCAGTGGCCAACAAACTATTGTAACCAAATCCACCCTCGTCACCAGCCTGCACTAACCAAGGTTGGTGAAGTATGGTCAAAGCAAGCACCGTGGGCGACACGGGTGTTAAACAAAAGCTGAGCTGAACGACGATCTAACCCAAACGAAACTAATTCCGAATCATAACATTGGTCGTGAATGCGTAAGCATTAACTTAATGCAACGTATTGATGATAGTGTAATCTCATCATCGATGGGGAAAAAAGACAGTATGACGTTACTGGCACAGAGTCGCGTTGCTCCAGATAAATAATAGCTTCTAACACTTTCGTAAAAAAAACAATTTGTGCAAATTAGGCCCATTTTGTGTAATTATGTTCAATTGACAGTCTTTTCTCTTCTTTCTCTCTCTCTCTCGTTGTGATGGCCAAGAGATTGCGCTCAAGTAGGACAATCTGGAGCGAGGGACATTCTGAGAGCAATTCTCTCCATCCTGGTAGACTGTGCCTGCTCCTTCGGTCTGGCCAGGTGCAACTCGGTGTCAGGAAGCCAAAGTGATTTCCCTGCTCGAATGAGCATTGAGGCATTTGATGCTCGCCTTCCGTTTACAGCCCTGCAGAGGCAGTGGTGGAAATTCCACATTCATATGGCGGGGGCGAGTCTGTCCATATGACCCATCGCTTTTTTACTTGCCTGCAATGTGGTGCTCATTCTACTGGGGCGTGGCGGGCGGGGGGGTAACTGTGAGGCTATTTGGGTCATTCTGATTCACATTGTGTCAATTAAGCTTTCGTTTCGATACAAATACTGACGCACAGACAGAGAGACATGAAGCCAGGCACATATTCTACCGATATATTTATTTGATTGTGACTTTGCTAATACCTTGCAGCAATATCTCGCAAAGACTAAAATCCACAACGGCGCTGTTTTGTTATTGTTATGAATCCGTAGCAATCAATAATTATTATTACACTTTCGTTACCCTATCAGTTGCTGTCTAAGCAAGTGCGCTAAACACGTGGACGCACTCCGCTTTCTCCCAGCGCGCTCCACTCGTCGTTTGCCCGTGAACCGTCGACGCTGCGCCCGGGTTATTTTCTACCGCGCTGCTCGTCACGAAGCGTGGACGGCGCTGTCGGTAGCGCCGTCCCCGCTTACCCCGTGGCCCCGTCGGAGATTCTTCCCCCCCCCCCCACAACCCTCGCCCCCCTCCGAGCGTCGCGCTGTGACCCCTCGACCCCCGCAACCAGCACGGCAGCCGTGCCCTCCCTGGCTGCCCGGTGGGATGCGCGGGCGGCCCCCTTCTTCTCGCAGGGGTGGTCGCGCCGTGTTTAAAATAAAAAAAAAAACATTTTGAACCCGAGCGCTGTCGCCGGCGACGTCCCGGGGTATGTGGGGAGGTTCGTTCCGTGCGGCTCTTTACAAGCGATCGTGGCAACACGATCCGAGCCACTTCCTTGTGTGTCCTCGGCCCCAGAGGCCATAAAGCAGCACAACGCCTCGGCGGGCATTCCATTGCAGGGGCCGCGCAGTTAAAAAGCCCGCGGCTAGCCGGGGTTAACACGCAAACATCTCTCTCTCTATATATATACTTGGGGCGTGACGACTGCGAGTGTTTTAATGCCGCCACCAATTCAAAGGGCCTGAATGGCTGCAAGGTTTCGTGACCAGGCGCGCGTGGGCCCACCGCTTGTGGCGGACAGCGCGGTACTGGCAGACAATGACTAAGAGCTCTCCGATGCGTTTCTCGGGTTGCACAGCGTGTTGTGCGGCACGATGTCCAACGTTCCGAATCCATGTGCTGGCGGTTTCATCAGGAAGTGCAGTAAGGCAGAGCAGAATTGTTCGTGAAGAAGCTCTCGCAGCACGCGGGAGCAGAACTTTTAGCATCGTGCCGAACGACACGTGGAGCAAACAGAAAAAAGCAACGCAGAGCTGAACAGCGCAACCGTGAAAACCTTTCGCAAGTAGTATCATTTTATTTTCAATCTCACGTACATTTTTACTCATCGCCATGACAATCTCTTTTGTCTTCACGTGACCCCTCACAACATATCTGCGCCAATTACGCGCTGTTTTTTTTTCCCTCCAGTCTCACTGTCGTTTTGTTTGGGCCTTCATACACCCACTGTGAGACCTCAGTGAGCATGGCAGTGGTTTGGAAATTCACTCGCGTCAATTCATGCTGCGGTTGCCACCATTGGGAAACAGCTAAAATGACGAATTAAAAAAAACCCTGAAAACCAAAATGGAGTTGGGCAGTCCGTCGAGCTAGGACATCTGGTGGCAGGCGGGCAGCATCGACAGCGGGCAGTATCAACAGCGGGCAGCATTAACAGCGGGCAGGATTAACAACGGGCAGCATCAACAGCGGGCAGCATCAACAGCGGGCAGCATCAACAGCGGGCAGCATTCACAGCGGGCAGCATTAACAGCGGGCAGCGGGCAGCATTAACAGCGGGCAGCATTAACAGCGGGCAGCGGGCAGCATTAACAGCGGGCAGCATTAACAGCGGAGGCAAATGGAAGGAGGAAGAGAGGCAGACAGGGGAAGAGTGCGAGACAGAAAATGAGAAGGCGTGGCGAGATTAGCCGATGTGGAGCAGCGCGCCACTACGCATGGAGGTGGCAAGCGATCGTGAAGAGCGGAAAACATTAGGGGCGAGGAGGAAATGTATCCAGCAGTATGATGTTAACGGGCAATGAGCAAAGATTGTAAACGATCACTACCCCTGATTTATTAGTTCAGTATACGATGCGATACGATAATCATTGTAGGCATCAGAGCCTGTTTAAACTTGAAGCAGCGCCGAGCGATAGCCAGACTCGATGCCTCCTATGTCACAATCAATTTGTAAAATTGGACATTCTAGATGCAGGGGGCTAAGCTGTGGCGCAATCGGTCGACAAGCAATCCCCTTGTGCTTGCGTTCGTGCGCGTTGACTTTCATCACATTTAAATCAGAGATTTTTGTTTATTTTTCCGCCGCTAATATTTCTAAGGAAAGGCGTTTGAGGCGGCCGCCACAGCTCAGCGATCAACTTCGCTGAGCCGGTACCGCTGAGGTCCTGGATTTGAATCCAAATTTCGGCCGCCCTGTGATTCAACTTGGTGTCTCAAGTGAAGTGAGCTGGTTGGTTTCAGCCCACGTCACCAACGACTGCACACGCAAAAAGCCCCCATCGGCTCGCTCCGAGAACTACAAATATAAATTTCACCAGCTTGTGTATTTATGTATGTCAGCTGATGGTGAGGCAGACATACGGGCAAGCTGCGTTGTGTGACCGTGACAGTAATGGGAGAAGCTCGTTGGGAAGGATAGATTGTGACTGATGATGTACGCATGTACAATATGTTGAACTTCTTTCGCACCGTACGCAGCCAACCATGCTAATCGAAGGAGCATAGCTACAGTGGTTTCCTAATATCGAAAGGAAGAGCGTTCCAGAAGGCCACAGAAGCGCATCTGGTGAACATTGCTCTTTGATCGGGTGGGAAAGTGCTGCCCCCTACTGTGGCTAAGAGGTCACTTGAAGGTATCTTCCAAGGTAGTTCTGTGAGCTCTGCTTCCACGATCCATTCTCTCACGCACGAGTTCTGAACGGATTCTTCCCTTTTATCACATGACGCTGAAAGCACGACTGGAATACAATTAAGCAGACAAATAAACCAATCGCTAATTATATCTCACAACAAAGGCAGTGGCTGAGGATTGTTTCGTACCAGGGAAGGTCATGTGGGACACGTGCCACCGGCACTTAGGGATGCTCTGCATGGGAGGTGCGGTAGAAATAATGAACAATTGTTTTTATTATTTTCGTAATGACACTTGTCCAACAAGGAAAGCCTAACCCAGTCTGAAGAATTTTTTTCAGGAAGGCTCTGCTAAGATTTGGCAGAGGGGCGGGGAGGGAGGGGGCGATGGTAGCTGCGTATAATCCCGATTGAGCAATTCGCAGGCAATGTTAATTCAGTATCGGGGTGTTTGGGGCAATATTAGTTTACAATGGGTGTTTTTTTTTTGTTTTTGCATTGCTTTTAATGACGAGGGGTTAATGCCGCATGGATGGTGGGGCAGAGAGATCGCGCAGGGCCTCATGGTTCGGTGTCGTCGGCAGGTTCTATCTGGTGGTGGAGGAGGACAACACCCCACTGTGGCTGGTGCTGACGCCGTGCGACGCCTCCTTGGAGTGGACGCTCCGAGTGGAGGACCTACCCGAGGAGGCCAGTGGTGGAGGCTCAGGTGCGTCATGCGAAAACAATTGCACGTGGCATGCCGCTTGCAGCGTCCCGGTCAGCGCGCCGGGAAAGATTCTTACATCACCACCACCGCCGCCGCCGCAGCGGTATGAATGGGTGCATCGACGGGCAGGCTGCGTGAGCTGGGGTAACTCCAGCCTCTTACGAGGTGTCTGCCTAGTGTGGAGGGCTTCTCTAGAGCTCCCCTTAGTAAGGCCCCGGGCAACACCTTCACCATTGATGAGCTGTGGGGCTTGCGTAAGGATTTCCGAGTGATGGTTCGAGGCCTTAAATGACCTCGCACCATTTTGCACCTGCATGTACCGTCACGACCTTCTCTGATCCGCTGATTTACATCTGCTCCCTGTGCCGCGAACTTGACTCTGCACCTGGGGTGACCGAGCCTCTGCTTATGCTGTGCCGAGATTATGAAATGCCCTGCCACCTGTGGTTAAACAGGCGAGGTCACCCGCTAAGTTTAGCTCTTCTTTAAATACTCAGCTGTTTCGCCTGGCCTACACTTCACGTGTTTGACCGGCGGACTCTGGACTTTGTAGCATTTATATTTCCCAACTTCGTGCATGGTACACTGAGATCCCCTGGATGAATTGCACCTTATAAATGTAAATTATATGGCACGATCGCCTCTTCCCTATGACTCTCTTCGCAGGCGACTCCGAGCCGTTCCGAGCCCAGCAGCCGGAGAGCCGCCGCCCGGCCTCCGAGGAGCTGCACTCGTACCGCGGCAACAGCATGGAGAGCTACGCCGTCCACTCGGCCAACTCGGGCCTCTACATTCTCGAGGTGTTCTCCCCGGAGAGGGACACCAGCTTCAAGGTGTACGCCAGCACCGCCTCGTCTCCGGGCGTCGGGGACAGCTACCCGCAGCTGCCCGCCGACAGCCGGCTCGACGTGACGTGGGTGGGACGCAGCGCCGTCACGCTCTCCTGGAAGTCCAGCTGGACCACTGCTCTGTCAAAGGACACGGCGGTGCGCTACTGCCTCCTGGCCAACCGCGACCACAACGTCAAGAGCCTGTGCGGCGCGAAGACCAAGCTGGGATCGGGGCCCGTTCCGCCGGTGCCGCTGGCCCGAGACCTGAACCCCTACGACTTCGCCTACCTGGGGTTCAGCACGGACTTGCTGCCGAGGGCTCCTCCGCCACCGGCCGTGAGCCACGGGCCGAGTCGATCGGACGTCTTCTTTACCTGCCTGGACGACAAGACGGTCTACACGGTGTCAGAGCTGAAGCCCGACACGCAGTACTACTTCGACGTCTTCGCCGTCAACCCCCGGACTAACATGAGCGTCTCCTACATAGGGACGTTCGTCCGAACGAAGAGCGACGGCCAGGCCGAGAAGGTCACGGAGCTGAAGGACGGAAAAGTGACGGAGCTCACCGTGAAGCCCAGGGGCGGAGACCGGGAGGGCGGCGGAGGAGGCGCCGGCAAGAACCTGCGCTTCCGCCCGGTGTCGTCGCACCAGCACGTGCTCTTCTCGTTCCACACGTGCCAGGCCGCCAACGCCATCCCGCTGCGCGTCGCCATCCGCCGCGACGGGAAGCTCATCTCCAGCGTGTCGCTGCCGGCCGGAGGGCTGCGTCACCTGCGCGTGAGAGGGAGGCCCAAGGCCGTCTACACCGTCCGCGTCAGCGGCAACGCGGGCGCGCCCGACGGGCGCCGCCGGCGGCGGCACCCGCGCCACCGGCGGCAGCGGCGGCGGCAGCAGCAGCAGCAGCAGCGGCACCAGCCGCCGCCGCCGCCGCCGGTGGCCGCGACGCTGCGAGTGTCGGCGACGTCCCGTCCCGGCAAGCAGCCGTTCCCCGAGCTCCCGGACGACACGCGCATCAAGGTGTTCGACCGCCTGCGCGCCTGCAACGCGGTGACGGTGGCCTGGCTGTGCGCGCCCGAGCGGCAGAAGTACTGCCTGTACAAGCGGCCCGTGGGCGCGGCGCCAAAAGGCGGCGGCGGCGGCGCCGCGGCGTCTCCGCCGCTGGGCGCGTGCTTCGGGCCCGAGAGCCGCAAGAAGTCGGAGAAGGTGCTGTGCAAGGAGTTCAGCAGCGCCGACCCTCGGCGCTCCGTGCTGGCGCAAACCGTCCGCGGCCTGGAGCCCGGCCGGGCCTACGTGCTCGACGTGTACGCCATGGCGCCCGGCGGGGAGGCGGCGCGGTACCAGAGCAGGATGGTGACGACGCGCTCGCGCTGCTGAGCACGCCGCCGGTCCCGCGAGCGACGGGGAGCGGCGGAGGTCACACGACGATCGTGCGGCAGATGAGACTTGCCCGGCCCTTGATGAGACGTTGCTTGAACGGGAGCGTCCCCCGACCTCCCGGGGGGGGGGAGGGGGGGGGATCATTGCGTAGGGAGCGAACGCAGAGATGGAGCCGCTGATCAAAACAACAACAAACGTGTGTGCGGTGTGAATATTCGCGCGGAAACGCTTGCATCCGTCGGTGTACTAACACGCGTTTTGCTGAGAAGAGAAATGAGAGGAGATGCTCGTCGCTAGCCTTCGTGTGCTTTGCCTGGACCATTTCTCCATGGCAGACCGTCAGAATGTCTCGCTAAACCACGCGTGCGTAACCAGGAGATCCTTGCATGCAGCCGTACGTCAGCAATTTGTACTTTACGCAACAACGTTTTTACGGACTAAAATGTATCCCGTCTCAACAGAACGTTATACGGTTCTGACGTTAGATAACTGATGTTTAATTAAAAAATAATGTCCCATATTATAGCACGTAACCGAGCGTCGATATGAATAAAAATGCCCTTCATCATTTTCGCGGTGAGTTTCATGAAATTCGCAACGATGTTTCTAAAATACAGCAGCCCGTGTGATGACCTACGTCCGGATTATTCTCTAATTTAAATTGTTTATATTGACTCTACTATTAGAAAACATATTTTTCTTTCTTAAAACCTTTTTCCCCTTTAGGTAAAATCGTGAGAAAGTTATATTATTATTTACTATCTTATGTAACTATAATGTTTTTTTTTCTTTTAAACTTGAATCTTATTTGTTCTGCCTAAATAATGTTGTAAGTTATTGAAATCACAGTATTTGAGCGTCTTACTGCTTATAATGAAACCTTGTACTAAAAATATATTTGCATATTTTTTCTTTGTTTTTTGGTAACATACAGTACGTGTAAATATTTACAAAATTGGTTATATTGTATTGTGTTATATTCACGTTGTACGACAGTGTTCACATATAGTTACGTTCGACCCCAATAAAGTTCATCTAAACATTCTCATAGTGTGTGCGACCATTTGTCTACTTGCATTTACGATTCACAGTCGGTCTATAGCGGCCTTACCAAAATCTGCCTTGTGTTGAAGAGGGCAAAAGTTTAAGAGCTTGGCCCTGGCTATCGTCCAACTACACGGACCGCTATGAGGTGGCATTCACGATGAATATGTCACATTTGGTTGTTTTACTCCTCCTATGCTCAACCACGGTGTTGTTGATTCTGCAGCAGTGTTGCAGACCTCAATGCAACTTAACTCCTGCAGAGTTGCATGCAACTCATGGTTTATATATGTAACAACACGGATTATAGTCAATTTTGTTATGACCAACGATATTTTAGTCGAGTTGCACCAATTATGTTCATATTATTAATCGACATTAAGTTAATCTTATTTATACATTTAAATAACAATCATATTTAAGTGTTCATGAATATCGGCAAGATGCCTGCCTCCCATATGTGCAAGGTCCAGTTGTGTTTTCATTTACGGAAATGTTATTTCAATTAAAGGCATGACAACACACGTTCCTTTATCATTTAAGCGCTTGGCTGAAAATATCAAAATATCACTCACCATCAACATACGTTTTGGAAAATATACCAAAAATATAAAAATCTAATACATTTGGCGCCAAGTTGGCCAGATATTAACTGCCTCGCCTGGAATACAGGAGGGCGTGGGTTCGATCCCAACCCTGACACCTGTTGTTTATTTGAAGTTTGCATGTTCTCCCCGTGGTCGCGTTGATTTTTCTCTGGGTTCTCCGGTTTTTCCCTTCGCATCTAGAAACATGCGTTTAGATTATTTGGCTGCGAAACTTTCCACATGATGAACCACTTCGTTGAGCTATCAATGGTGGGTCGGGTCGCTTCTAAAAAAGAGCTAGATAGCCCTGTGGGCCTTACAACGTTATATAAAAATAGTGTTGCTTTAGTTCACCCTATTATTCTGAAATCGTGAGGCTATCATGGAGGAAGGCACTGCTGTGGTTCACAGACACAATCTGCAGGAGTTTTCAGAGTAGGGGGGCGGGGGGCAGGTGTTGCTGCTGCTGTGTGTAATCCTAAATAAGTAATTTGCGGTGTCATGTTTTGGGAATTTGATATATTTTGACCGTTGACGTCGGCATGCTGTGGCCTGCTCGTTTCAAATTTAGTCAGGTTATTATTTTAGCGTCTAACGGCGAAGTAAGATGGCGCTCGTTTCATGGTTAATTCACCTGCAGCGGTAATAACCAGGGCGGCTCACCCGATTCTAACCGCGGACGTCCGCAACCAGCGGCGACGTGCAAGCGCTGGGCCCCGTCACCGCCCCCAACAACAGTGGCTGCGATGGACACGGTGAAAAGCCATCGCAACGAGTTCGAGATCCCATTGGCATTTCCAGGGAGTAAATAAGTAAGTAAATAAATACTAGATTTAAAGCTTTCGTGACTGCAAGGATCCATACTCTTTGGTTCTATTCGGTAAAGTCACGTAGGTAAAAAATAAAACAACAAAAATCACGACGTTTCGGCCACAACACAAGCGGCCTTCATCAGGTGAAGGGATCAGGCTGTCTCGAGGACAGCGCTGGAGTGAAACACAGCCACGCTCAGACCGCGGACCTTTCAGCTGTGTGCGAGGAAACAAGGTGCCTTGACAAAGGAATTAGCATAAAAATTCGCATTTGATTGGCCGACTTAGCATAGAGGTGGTGTACGTGCGGGTGCACATGCCGTTTGGCGCGGGGGGGGGAGGAAGGGGGAGTTTACCTATTGATGGTGTGAAAAGGGAATTTTTAAGAGCTGCGAAAGTTTGGGGTACCACTACTTGAAAAATATACTGTACCATTGAAAATTAGTCTAATGTTTAGTTCGGCTGAGAGGATGACTATATCACTTCTGTTTTTTAAATTCGCGAGTTCAGAGCGTTCATTTTTGCTGATGTTACTAATGGGTTTCTTAGCATTCTTAAGAATAGTGGCTATTTCAGCTCTCGCAACGTCTGCTTGGATGTGTCCTACGCCTTTGAGGGCTACATCGACCTGAGAGATGATATCATGTACTGGTATGTGTTTTGGTTTGACAGCAAAATTCAGTCCCCTATCCAGTACTGTTTTCAGATTGTCCGAAATCGGGGTGCTACTCTGATTAATGACGATTTTGTTAACATCTAGTTTTGTTATATGTGGAACTGGGTTCTTCTTTGATAGGTGGTTGGATTTAGAAATCAGGTTAGCTTTACATTTGACTGACAGTGAATCAGCAGAAGAAGCAGTCATGTTGTCTACGTGATTCCAATCAGAAGGTGACATGTTTTGTGTTAACATTAGAAGAGCTTGTAGGAGAGTCCTGTCTAAAGTATCGAGTTCAAATCGGTGTAGCCTTATCCTCTCTGAGATTGCTATATCGGGGAGACAAAGCGACATGTCTCTGACCGAATTCGCGAGCACAAATCAGATTTGAAACACGGTAAAACGAATTATTCTGCCGTGGCTGATCACTGTTACAACGCTGTGGGTGATCACGATATAATTTTCTCCGATACCAAGGTTCTTTGCAAACCCACGGGTTTTTATCAGAGATTTGTTCACAAGGCAATTCAGATCTACAAACACAGACACCATTTCAACCGAGAAGATGGTTTCAAATTAAGCAACCATTGGAAAGATGTTCTAAATCGTACTAAACATTAAACTAATTTTCAATGGTACAGTATATTTTTCAATTAGTGGTACCCCAAACTTTCGCAGCTCTTAAAAATTCCCTTTTCACACCATCAATAGGTAAACTCCCCCTCCCCCCCCCGCGCCAAACGGCAAGTCCACCCGCACGTACACCACCTCTATGCTAAGTCGGCCAATCAAATGCTAATTGTTATGCTAATTCCTTTGTCAAGGCACCTTGTTTCCTCGCACACAGCTTAAAGGTCGCGGTCTGAGCGTGGCTGTGTTTCACTCCAGCGCTGTCCTCGAGACAGCCTGATCCCTTCACCTGATGAAGGCCGCTTGTGTTGTGGCCGAAACGTCGTGATTTTTGTAGTTTTATTTATTACCTACGTGATTTTACCGAATAGAACCAAAGAGCAAGTAAATACATAACTCCATTCTTTTTGTCAGCTCTCTGTATTCCTTCCCACGAAATTGAACAAATAAAGCTGCGTGCCCGCTTTGGCACTCAAGTTGCCATTCGTGAAATGTTTTACATTCTCAGGATTTAGAGGAGACCTACCTGTGCCCATGCAAAGCACCTCCAACTCACATTGCAGAACGACGACCGCACGGCGTCGCGTGCGATGGACACGCGCGAAGATTTCACGAGCATCACTAAAAACGAAAACACGGCCGTTTGTAGCCAGCTAATGTGCCGCAGGGCACACAGAGAGGGTATGTGGCGCAGCCACCTCTGACGCTGACAAACGTACGGACAAAGATCGCGCACGAAAGCGTTGCACTTCAAAGTCATAATTCTGAGGTGCGGATTTGAAGGCGCGTTCTTCTCGTGCTAGACTAAGCTGCCTCGTGGACTATCCCCCCCCCACCTCGGCTACAGCTCCTCCACACAGAAGAAGCCATACAAAGATGCTACGGGATCAGCGGTGGCCAACGGCTTCTCCCGAGCCGCATGCGGCCCATTTAATCCACCACATGCGGCTGTATCGAAGGGGCCTCACGTGGAATATACTATCACAGAAGTAGCAAAGACAAATGAATGTCTCCCGTGCTGTGCGGAAACTGTCAATATATACACTTCGCTCTTTGGTCTGTTACAGGTTGGCCATCCCTGTGCTAGATGATGACATCTGTGGTGTCGCCTTAGTCCTGCCCACAAGCCCCCCTAACTTCTCCACCCCCTACCTCCATTGTCAAATGATGCACCCCCACTAATGACACGGTTGCATTGCACATCGCGGGAGAGAAAATGGGTTTTCCCGATTATTCACATTCTTCATGGATCGACGTGGATTTTCAGAAAAGGTTGACGGATACAAACCGTACTAATTGGCTGCGTGGGTGGTGGCGTGTTTAACGACACATTTATTTAATATTTACACGATCTAAAAAAAAGCTGTATTAATCAATGATATTGCTCGCGAAAGCCTTCCATGTGTTCAACTGAATAAAAAAACGTCGTGCCCACAATATTTCCCCTCGGTTTTAAAGAGTTTGCGATGGTCCATGGCTCCCCGTAATGTGTATTAGCATCCGTGAAGGGTTACAGGAATACCTCGATCAATATACGAAGTAGATGCATTCTTGGAGCTTCATATATTGAATCTTCGTATTATGAACAACTTATAACATTAGAACTATGAGGATGCGTTCCCAGCCTTCGCAATTTACTATTTCATACCATAAACACTTCACAACTTACCAATCGTAGGGTAAACATAGGCAATATATGTTCACACTAATATTTCTGTTATACTGTACAGTATTCAAATAAAATAAAAACTGACGTAAATAAAAGAAACATAGTGAAGAAACAAATGTTATGTAGATTGATGAAAGTCTTATTAATTTAATCGTTTCAGTGTATTTATTTGCTATTTTACTTTATTTTTTGGCTTTCTATACAAAAAAGTAATGGTTAAAAGGTAAAAAGTTCATTATACCGAAACATTCTTTATCGAATGTATATGTACGTGGAACTTGTTTCGCACCACACGTGGCCAACCTTGCTAATCAGTGAAAGGACAACAAACTAAACACAACACGCAGTTCTAAAGAAATCAGTTTTCAGTCTACGCACATCGAGGTATGACCGTACTGTAAACCAGATCGATTCCCACAATCCCAGCCGTCCCTATCGTTACCTTTTCTTCATTTTGACACAGAAGAGGGGAACATACACAAGAGGACTTGGGCAGGACATGTGACTCGAAGGGAGGATGGGCGCCGCTAGAGACTATCAAAAGGATTGGCGGCCAAAGGAGATGACACGCCCGAGAGAGGACGTCAACCACCGACATGGAGTGATGAAATCAGCTCATGTGCTGGAGTTATAGATGGCCTAGAC